TTGATCAAAAATAGAAATATGACTAAAGAAAATTTAAGATATAAGATTAATTTTGTTTTAATAAAAGAAGTAAATATATTTGAATTGATTAAAAATATACTTATTTAAAAAAGTGAAAACTTCATTTGGAAAATTTATGTTGTATAAAACCCGAGGTAACGTTGGCACATATAGGTTCTAATAATTTATAACGCATAAAGGTACAGTAGTTACACATTAGCCTTATAATAAAATAATTTCTAGTTAAATTGATTGATTTAGTAAAATAATAATTATAGGGAATACACTTTGATTAATCATTAAGACAATTTTCTAATTAATTAAAGATAACATATGATAAATTAATATTGCCTAAAGTTTTGGTAACGTAGATACACGTAGACTTTATCAATTTATAACATAAGACGGTAGAGAAGCTACACGTTAATGTTATAAATTGATGCAATTATATTTTTTATTACTTGATCATAAAATAAAATAAATAAAAACATAATACGAGTATAAAATCAAATTATTTCAATATTCTGAATTTACAAAAAATAAAAATAAAAAAATACTAAGAATAAACAACCCAAGAATAAATTAATTCATTAGACATAAGCAAAAAAAAAATAATTATTATAAAAATTTTCTTATTCTGTTTATCTCTTATTACTTTTAGTGAAAAGGGTAAATCTGTAATTAAAAATTAGAAGCAAATATAACATAATAATACAAATAGATGTTAACATCATAATTTAAAATAGAATACAAAAAATAATTTAAAGATAAAGAGGAAAATAAAAAATGAGGTGATTTTATAATTTAAAAGTGGATAAATAAATAAATGGGTAAAAGCTGAAAAAAAGAAATAAATAAGTAAATATTTATTATTTTATATTTTTTTAAACTAAAAAAATTTAAAACTTAAACTATCCTTTCGTTTAAACAATGCGCTACCTAAGCCCAAAAAAGAAAAAAAGAAGAGGAAAAAAAAAGCATAATCAGAATAATAATAATTTAAAAAAGTGTCGAAACTAAGATTCGAAAAAGTGCTGGCATAGTAACCATGCAAAACGTTCAGGGATATTATGGCTTATTTCAAATCAAATGCAATATATTATTAAAATATTAAAATGTTAAAAAAAAAAGATTAGAGCTTTATTTCGACGAGTCTCTAAGAATAGTTTTGATTATCTTCATCAAATGCCATATATAACTAAGATATTAAAATATATAAAAAAGGACAAAACTTTATGTCAGGAAGCCTATAATCTAATCTTTCATTATTTAGCCACACATCATGCTATCTATGTTACGAGAGTAGAGCATGTGAAGAAAAATGCCGATAATGGAACGTTTAAGATTCAAGCAAGAGACAGAGTGATGAAACTTTTTCTTTGTTCTTCCTTTCGGTAATGTCTTCCTTTTGAGCTCTTCTTCTCCTTTAGTGTTCTCCTTTCTTTCTATATTTTATTCTAAAGATCTATTTTCTTTTCCTTTTTTGGATCTCTCAAAGAAAAACTTCTAAATAAATCTGTCGTTTCTAAAAATTGTTCCTTTCTAAATACTCTTTCAGATTTTTTCTAAAAAGATGCTCTTTTTATCTTCTTTCTAAGTTGTTCATGTCAAGCCTATATATTTATATATGTATATTATGTATTATTTCTTTTAAATTGTGTTGTAATTGCTTGAATTATATAAATTTTTATATATTAAAAAATAAAATGTGTGAGCTATATAGTTACTGGATGAAAACTGTGTGTTTGCGGTCCTAATTGGTTGCTTATTTTGATATAGTTAGCGATGAGGGTTTGTGATCGTTATTAAGTATTTTGTGTTTATTAGTGTAAGGAATATAGAAGAGGATTTGTATTGCCTTTATTTTGGGAGAGATGGGATAAAACTACCCTAACTTTCCTTTTGCCTAGATAAAAAGGATCTTACTTAGGCAAGATGAGTTCGCTCAAGCGAAAAGTCACATTAAAAATGGAAAACTCTCTAGACCTATTCTCACTCAGGCGAAAATGCCTACTCGCTCAGGCGAAAATACTTCTTACTCAAGCGATAATAGCAAAAAACTAAGTAGTACCACTATCTAGTTTTCTCGTCCAGGCGAGAGTAGGACTCGCTCAAGTGAGAATGCACGGGTTTAGATGGGCATTTAAGGAAACTTAACCCTGAAATCTTTCATTTCTCACCAAATAGCTTTTTCCGCTTGTTTTCTCTCTATTCTTTCACATTATCCTCTCAGAGAAAACCTCCCAAAGTCCGAACCTCTTCTCAATTGAGGGTGAACTCTGGAGCTTAGTTCTCCACATTTACTCTTTATTCTTTGTTTTATCCTTCTCTAGAGATCTCTACTTTGTCATTCTAAGGATATATAAGTCCTTCGGATCGTATTTCATATCTGGACATTGTATCTTTCTCTTTGGGACTCACGAGAACTACGATCTAGAAAAACTCATTTCTAGGTAAAGGAAGGTTACCCTAGATGGCCTTTATTATTCACTCAAATACTGTGTATATATATATATATATATATAAAGAGAGAGAGAGAGGAAGGATCTTCTTATACCGGTGTAAGTCTAAAAAATCTTACACCTAATCTGAGCCTTTCATTTAACTTAAATCTAACAGTCAGTAAAGTAATAAATTATAACCCGTTAGATTTAAGTTAAATGAAAGACTCAGATTAGGTGTAAGAGTTTTTAGACTTACACTAGTATAAAAAGATCCTGCCTCAAATATATATATATATATATATATATATATATATATATATATATTGTGTTAGCTGAGAATGGGCTGATGTATGGATGAAGACTAGGATAGAACACAAAGTATGTGTGATGGGATCTTCTGTTGTTCTGTGAATGATATGAAACTGAGTTGTATCTGGAACAAATGTTTGAAATATTGTGACATAATATGCTTAAATGCTTAATATATATTGTAAATCTATTATGATGAGACTAGCTGATAAATGTTGTAATTCTACACAAGTTGTAAAAAATGAGAAAATTGTTATATTGCTGGACTCGACTCTCTCTCTCTCTTTCTTGTTATATATATATATATATAGTTGTTTTATATCATGTTATATGTTAGGTGATTAGACGTGTAACGATAGAAAAAATGTCGAGTTGTGCTGTGCTGTGTTTAGATCCAGATACTGGGATGAGTCGTTCTCAAATGAGAAAAATTGTAAGTTCCTTCTGGATTATTTGAGCTGTGAAACCAGTTGGAACTAAGCTGTTGCATTTGTAGTAAATTAGCTGGGAATGGGCTGAATTGTTCCATTGCTTTGCTAAGCATTTTAATGTATTAAGCTATATATAATATAATTATATCAATATCATGACTATGGCTGTTTGTTGTGTATTGGCGTGTATGTTGTGATGACCGTAGAGTGGTACATGAGTGAATGTGACAAGTAGTGTGTCTACTTCCCATACTGGAGGGCCTATCTAATGAGGGACTCAAGTTTGACATTTTTGAAATATGTAACGTTACTTTTGTTAGTATAGGTTTTAGCTCTGAGTTTAGATTATTTAGTACAAATTTGGTTATGGAAGGTAAACATTTGTTTTTGACTTTATATTCTTTTGAGTTTCATGTTGAGCAACTCTTATAAATATTGTTAAAAGGATTATTATATGTTATATATTTTAAAATTTTATAATGATGTCTTGTAATCCTATTTTATCATTAAGATATGAGTTTTTTTTTTATTTTTCATCATCGTCTTGAGTTAAGTTTCTATTCTTTTTAAATGTTTTAAATTTGATACAAATTTTTATTGAATAGTATGCCACACATCTTTTCCAAAAACACGTTGTAAAAGTTAACTTAAAATCTTATATTACATTTGATATGTTTTAAATATAAATTTAGTCATGATCTAGCTTTAACCCATTAAATTCTATAATAGGTCTTTTAATCATATGAACTTTTTAGACTAAGTCTTATTTAGCTTTGTAACTTTTTAAGTCTCAATGCATGAGTCAAGATTAAATTAGTAAGAGTTAACCTATTTTTTATAGCTTAAATATATTTTAACTACTTCTAAATAATGTTTATTTTAAATTACTTTTCATTTTAATACTTAACTATTTTTTTTCAATTTCATACTTAACTTTCGTCAGTTAAACAGTGACGTAACTCACAATTTACAACATCACTCAAATATTTTCTTTTCACTTTATCTTTAAATTTTTATGTTACAAATCTACATTAGTATTTTATTTTTTAAATAAAAAAAATTAAAATTTAAGCTTTGTAATTTTTTAATTCTTAATATATATGAGTTAAGATTAAATTAATAAAAATTGACCTATATTTTTATTGACCTATTTATTAATTTTATATTAATATTTTAAAACATGAAAAGTAACTGTCAAGGTACTTAATATTTTTTGCAAAAGTAATTGTTCATTTGTAAAAGAAAAAATTTCAGTCTTCACAAAAGTTTCTGACATGTGATATTTTAAGAATTTTTTTAAATAAATAGATTAAAGAAAAAAAAAAAAAAACCCCCACATGCACATGCCATATAGTCGTGCCAGCTTCTTGTCCATGCATTAGGTCCAACTAAATTTGAAAGGATATGCTTGTGCCACGCACTCGCACCTATTTTTCTTTTCTCATGTTTCAAATTTCAAATAACTTCTGGAACATTCCTAAATGTGCAATGTGCATTAATCGAAGGAATCATTAAGCTTGTTAATTAATTATATTTCCGGACACTAATCATTGCATAAAATATCATTATTTCAATCCTTAAAATATATTTACTTGAGCGCAATAAGACACGCGTCTGCTAAACGAGGCACCTCGAACTTGAGGCAATGGTCCCCTCCATTTTCCAGAAACTTCCATACCATACTGGTGATTGCAAGCATGCAATCCGCAGGTGCGGTCCTGATGGAGCCACGTGTCCAAATATCCATGTCATCATCCGACGTGGCGCACGCTATAACCTTGTAATTGATACGCTTTCTTCAACGCCCTACCATTTCTCAACCCCTCTTTTTCGCTGCAACAAATAGAGCGTCGTCGTTTCGTTCTTCTTTGGCAGAAGAGCATAGGGGATTTCCATCTGCGTTTTGGAGCTTCCACTTGTCGTTTTCCAGATCGGAGAATTCTCTCGCCATGAACGGAAACGAAGCCGTCGAAGATGCGAAGGTGGTGGAGGAAGAGTTCACGGAGAAAATGGTGTACATGTGGGGATACCTTCCCGGAGCCTCGCCGGAAAAAGCGCCGATACTGTCTCCGGCTCCGGTACATCTCTCCGATCCCTCACTCGCCGGAGATTCCTGGAAGGACGTGTGCGGCGGCGGTTGTGGATTCGCCATGGCCATCTCAGGTTGATTCTCGATCCTTTGACTATTCTTTGACTTAATTGAGATCGAAAAGTTAGTCCACTTTGAAGAAATTCTAGATCTAATTTCGTTAGAAACAGATCCTGGAACTGTTTATTTTCTTAATCCCGATTCATTCTTTAAAATCTGAAGAAGTTTTCTTAATTGTTTCTTTCTGTGTTTTTTACGTTGATTGTTTCGTTGAGCTGTGTTTGTCGTGCGATTTTTGCAGAGAAAGGGAAGCTTATAACGTGGGGCTCCACGGATGAAGAAAGCCAGAGCTACTTGACGTCCGGGAAGCGTGGGGTAATGCAGTTAGTGTTCTAATATAGGTCTTGTTTTTGCTGTGAATATGTTGTTGGAATTGATTTTGCGCCTTGTTCTGGATGCATGTGTGTCTGAAGGAGATGCCAGGGCCATTTCAGCTTCCCACTGAGGCTTCAGTGGTGAAGGCTGCTGCTGGTTGGGCTCATTGTGCTTCTGTCACTGGTAATGCTTCTAGTACATTCTCGATCTAGTGGTTGTTTACAAATGGTAAAGCAATATGATTTCCTGTTCTTATTATCTGAGGATGCTTACTGGATTTTAATATGTCTGGATTTATATTTTAATAAATATATCGGGAGAAGAGAGTGATTGTGTAGACTGCTCTTTACTTAATAAACTTTAACGTAATATTTTATTAAACATTTAATTTTAACCTCTTAGGAAAAATTATAAATTAAAATTTTCTAATCAAAATAACTTGATTAGTGAAGTTGAATACTTGATTACTTGAAATTGCTTTCATAGAGATGCAGTTGTGTCTTAAGAATAAGATACAAGAGCAATGCAGATGAGAGTATTATTCGGAATGGAAGCAAAACAGACGAAAATTAGTGAAAAGTAATTTTACAAATGTATTAACGTAAAACAATTGTTAATCATTTTATGAAATCTAATTAATAAATTAATATATTATTAACAAAAAGTCAGGGGGCCTATAGAACCGGCTTTTAGTTTATTTACCCACCAATGGCAATTAAAATGGGATAATAATTCATCTATTTCCGATGAGATCTGAAACCAAATATAATTGAAATTTATGTATGAAAATTACAGAAGCAGATGTATGGTCTGAAAACGATGATTTATTAAAGCATATGTATCATATATTTAGCACTATATCTCAAATGATGTGTATGGAATATGGTTGTGAAGTTCAGTGCATCATTAGATGTTTTTACAATAGTCTTGGACTGATACCATTTAAAATTTTTAATTACAAAAGTCCATTCTAAGGTAGCTTCGAACATTGTGTTTTCAGACAACAGTGAAATTGAAAATGGGCCACACTCGGCCAGCCATGTAATAAAAGACTAAACTTATTTAAGCTTTTTTTGTTTTCCTTTTTTATCTTTCTAAATATCACGAGTTATAAAAAAAGGACTAATAGAGGGATTATATGGAAAAGGGAAAAATTAATGAAGGACTAACTAAATTACAACTTCTTAAAAACGAGGAACAAAATGAGAAACTCATGATATTTCGAGAGACCAAAAACATTTAAACCTAATTATTATGATTCAGTCAACTTGGGATTTATAGCATGTCAAAGAACGAGTAGACCTCATAGGTTACCCTGTGAAGCAATGGCCAACATATAACACATACGCTTTGCTGAGGAATTTACTGCTTTATGTACAGAAGAAGGTGAAGTGTATGCATGGGGCTGGAAAGAATGTGTGCCCTCTGGAAAAGTTATTACTGATTTCATCACTGTGGGAAGCCTCCAAAAGGATGTTGCTGGGAAACAAAGTTCATCAATAGCTGAACAAGGTGCTAATCAACACTTACGCATACAACAAAAATAATTTAACAAAAAGAGGGCTCGTTGATTTCATTTCAGGGAGCTAATGGAATTTCGGACATTAAACAGGAAGCCCACAAAGTTCGAATACAAGTAGTGGATCAGATTCACATCATGACAACAAGAAAGTTGGAGAGGAAGTTGTAAAGCGAAGGAAGATCTCTTTTTCTAGACAGGATTCTGACAGTCAAGCATCTGGAGATGAATTCTTTACCGTGTCCCCTTCTCTTGTGACCCTTGGTCATGGAGTGAAAATTACCTCTGTAGCAGTTGGTGGGCGTCATACCTTGGCACTGTCAGGTAATTCACTTTGTGTATATCAGTACTAATGATCATGATATTCTAGGGCTAGTTGGCTCTTCCTAGTGGTTACATTATATAGTTTTGTAGGTTCTTTGAAGTACGAAGATATGGAAGGTTTTTGATGTAAAGCAAGACACCTGATGCATCATATTTTTACCAAAGTTTTCAGATGTGGGACAGGTCTGGGGCTGGGGCTATGGAGGTGAAGGACAGCTAGGTTTGGGTTCTCGAGTAAAGATGGTATCATCTCCTCATCTTATACCATGTGTTGAATCTGCTTCTGGGAAGGATAGGTCAACAACTCTTCATCAAGGAAGTAGTGCTGGAGCCCAAGGGCCAAATGTTCCTGGAAGTTGTGTGATGGAAATAGCTTGTGGAGGACGGCATAGTGCAGTGATAACAGGTCAGCATTTTACTGCTGTCGTATAGTCTTGCAAAAGCATTTCTAGATGTTTAAAAAGTTGTATGAAACTTTATGCGACAAAGGCTAATTCAGTTTGAGAATGTTATGTATTAGTTATCGAATGTCAATATTCAGTTAGTGTAGATGAAAGAGACGCATGTTTTTGTTAGTGATTAAGAAGAATAATCATAATTTATAACAATTTTTAAAAAAATTCTTTCGTAGATGCGGGGGCGCTTCTTACTTTTGGCTGGGGTCTTTATGGTCAGGTGAGTCTGCTGCTGTTGGAATTTTTCTAATACTTTCCCATGTTCATCTTCTAAGTCAACGAAGGGCATTTTATTTTTATTGCTAAGGGTAAGATAGAATATGCAAAAGCCTCGGAATGGAGGATGTAGTTGAGACAACAGTAGTATTTAAACGATGATGCCAATCTTGCTTCCATTCTTGGCCATACCATGTACTGCTCCCTTCTAGAGAGCTTTGATACAAGTTGATAGTATTAGAAACTGAATTAGTATTATAGAAAGAAAGGTTTCAACGTCTTCTCTCTTGCTTATTATAGCTTTAAATGGGGGTTATATAGAACTCTCTCTGTAAGCTAGTAAAAGTTATTATTTCTTCAAAAGAAGTTAACATACACTTACTCTATTTAATGATTTTTATGGACATGTAATTTTTACTATCTAATTACTAAATTAAAAGATTTTATTAAGAAAATCAAATTTATAAAATTTCATATAATGTGAAAGATATTTGATATTTTTATAAATCAACTTCATTTTAATGCATAATATGCTTTTCAATATATAAATAAGTATCTTTTATATATTTACATACCTACATGTGTTTAATTTATCTTAAACAGTGTAATATCATACAAAAAATGCCATATGATTCAATGGTTACTTATTCAATTTATTCTCTAAAAGTAAAATTGAGTGGAGTACGTTTCCGAGATTTATTCATGTTTTGGTGTGAAATTAGTAACTTGTAGTATTGAAGCGGATTCACATTTGAGTGGATTTAATGCTAATTCAAACATGCTATACATCCACAATGATTTACGAATTAAATATGATCTTGGGTTTGAGAAGTACCTTGCTTTCAAATGTAATAAATTTAATTCCTGTCCAAACATTGCTAAGAGGGGGGGAGATGTTGTGATTACATTTTAGTATTCTCATAAAGCATTTAATTGGCTTATCTGAAGTTTCTTTACCACTTTGCATCTTAATTCTGTATAGTGTGGACAAGGAAATAATGCTGATCAGCTGAGACCAACTCTAGTTCCTTCTTTGTTGGGAACTAGAGTGGAAAAAATAGCTGCTGGACTTTGGCATACATTGTGTGTCACTGAAAATGGTCAAATTTATGCATTTGGTGGGAATCAATTTGGACAATTGGGTACCGGTAGTGACCAGCCTGAGGTATGTTTACTTAACTGTCAGATCGATTTATTTTCTTTTAAACAAAATTTTGTGTTTAACAGGACCAATGTCACATTAACTCAATTTTATCTTGAATCGAACAGTAGCATCTTCTGGTTTTAGGTGTCTGTACGTTAGCCACATCAGATTTTCATGTTTTTTCTCTAGGAAAAAAAAATGTCTTAGATAATCCGCAAAATACATATTGGTGAAGCATCCAGGTATATGCATATCTGTTTCATATCCGTGACTGATATCTGAAGGAGATGCATGTATCCATGCTTCATAGTTAAGAAAGTCAAATACTAATTTACAAAAGTGATATAACATATAATTTCAAATTGACAATGGAAGTTGTAATTTAGTCTTCATACTTGCACAAAATATATTTTGGAAATAAAGGGAAATAATCAATAAGCTTGAAAATATAATAAAATGTGACTGCTAACGTGCCATAAACTATCCAACGGGGCACATCTTGGCATAACAAATATTTGGCTAGATTTAACAGAGATCAATATTAGGAGGCAACCAGAAGGAAGAGATATTATTTAAATAGCACAATTGAATTCACTAAAATTTATAAACCCTTCCTTGAGTCCGTAAGTACCTTCAATCATCTTCAACTCTTGACCTGTTGCCATTTCCTTAGATTAAAAAGCTACCCACTCCAGTAGGTATTATGACTTCAAAGAATAAGTTCCATTAACTAATAAAATACTACTCCAAAATCAAAACATTTCAAGCTAAGTGTGTTTAGAGTGTGATTATTCTTACAGATAAAATGTCATTTTTACTGAAAAAGCTGCAAAAAATATTAGTTAATGTTTATTTTCTCATTTTATTCCTAATAATTAATAACTTTTATTTTATACAAAACTAATTATTACACATAGCTTCATGTCTTATTTTTGTAATTTCACCCTTTTGAAATAAATGATTCTTTTATACAATCCCAACATACTAGATTGTTTTAAAATCACTTCTCAACACAAGCAAACAAAATTTATTTTACGTAGTTATCATAATAATCAATTATAGATATAATTAATTATTGAAATAATTTTTTTAGCAAATCCCAACACACTGAATGAATTTTTAAAAAAGAAGGGGTAACCTAAGAATAAGTATAAAGAATAGAAAAAAATCCCCTGATTATAAAGTTAGTTTTCAAGACAAACCAAGGTATAGCTTTCCTGTTACATGATAGTAAACTCCCAAATGCATAGAATTATATTCAAAGCACCAAAATGTACCAGCCCACCTTTCTAATGTAGCACAGCGTGTGAGATTTGGCACCAAGGAAGCAAAGATTAGAAGAGTAGGAACTCACCTCAAGCTCTTAGTGCAAGCGGGCTTTGCTGCTCTGCAATGGTCTTTTTTTTTCACAAGAACATACTTGATCCCTATAGGACCAGTTTGAAAGAGCTTATAAGAGAATTGCCTATGACTCGCATAAGTTTCTTTTTTATCTTCAATAAGTTTCTTAATATAGCTTATAAAAATTAGTTATTCTTAGTTTATCTCCATAAGTTTTATTGTTAAACTGATAGTATAAGTCATTCTTTTAAAAAGAGCTTATTGAATGAGCAATTATCTAAAGGCATCCTTAATTCCCCTCATTGGATATGGTTAAGATGATGGAGTTCTATGTTAAAATTAAAGCCAAAAACATAAAAAGAGTACAAATAAGATGATGTAGTTCTAACATGAATTTTCGTATTTGGCAGCCTATAGTCCCTATACGTGGTTGTGTTCAATACTGTGATTTCTGTCAGTCTTACTGAAATTTTGGTTTTCAAACCCAAAATTTCCATGTTGGTAATATTTTGGATTAAGGTGAATTAGTGTTTGGCCATTATCTATATAGCTGTGTTCCAATTAGCTGAAATTGCTTGTTTTCCCTGTGATAACTAGATTAATTTTTATCTGTTCAGATTTCACCTAGACTGTTGGATGCTTCCTGTTTTAAGAATAAGCATTCTAGTATAGTTTCTTGTGGGGCTCGTCACAGTGCTTTGCTAACAGGTATGTCTCCATTAACATATCCTTCAGGGAAACTTTTAGAGCCAAGCTTAGTGACTGCATACTTTGATAATGCTATGGCTTATTCATATTCAAGAACTGACAAGAGAGATTCGTGCCAACAATCATTATATGGAACAAGCATGCTATGGTGGTTCATTATATTCATCACTATGCTAATTTCATTGTCATTGCACCTATGGTGGTTAAGCTCATCCTTCAACTATGGGGCTGCTTAGTCTCATCCTTCAGCTAATATCTTTTATGCTTTCAAATCTAGGCCAGAACAAATTTTCAAAGCATCCAAGAATATTTGATGAAAAATTATCATTGTTTATTGACAAGAAAAAGTATTGTAGATGATGGTGTTTTACAAATTGTATCTAGTTTTACATGTATTCTTACAGTCATTGTTTTCTGTTTCTCATATTGAAGATGATGGGCACCTATTTACTTGGGGATGGAACAAGTATGGCCAGGTATTCTCAATATCTGAAAGTACAAATTAACAATTGGTGCTTGGGTTTATTTCTGATGATTGTGTACCTGGACAGCTTGGCCTAGGAGATTCTGTTGACAGAAACATTCCGTGTCAAGTTTCTATTGCTGATTGCAGACCAAGAAATGTTACCTGTGGTTGGTGGCATACACTGCTGCTGGTTGATAAACCAGCTTGACTTCATTTGTTCTTTAGCCTCAAGGTGGTTGCACGGTTTTGATGAGTTACTGACTAGTCGACATTTCACTAGTGGAATGTAGATATGTCCAAAATCACCCAACATGTTGGTTTGTTATTTTCATCCATCGTTCTCATTTTCCTATCTCAGCCTACCTTGAGTGCTTTCCCTTTCCCTTTCTCTAGCTTTCCATGTCTAGATTTTCGCTTTTGTTTTGCATAGACTTCCCAAGCAATGCAAGACTGTTTCATGGACTTCTGATTATGAATGTGTAAAATATAAATATTTTGTGCCTGTGAAGAAGCACTACGTTGCCAATAGACAGCGCTGCGATTCCTTTTTCTGGAACTAGTTATGATCCACAACCGGTATAAAGTAACGGGTCCATGGTTTGATCGATGAACCAGACAATCCAATCCAAAGCAATTAAACTAGTTCAAATTTGTTTGAATAATTGATTAATTCTATTTCAAACTCAAAACATATCATAATTGCGTGTTTTTAGATTTATCTCTTTTAACCAAGTGTCTTTGAACATGTTTACTATTTATCTTCATTATTATGTCTTAGATAGGAATTACGTGATAATTATAGGAAAAAGTAAATTATTTAATATTATATTAATAAATTAAATTAATTTCATTATTGTTTAAAATTATTGAAAAAAAATAAGAATTGTGTGTTCTGGATTTATGTAACGTGATCTAATGCTAAAAGTTCGACATTTTTCTTCGATTTGCTATTAACATAAAATATGTATAATTTGATTCAAACTCCTATATACAGTACAACGAAAGGTTGAAACAATTTCTTACTTGGCAATTAGATAGACGATTATGGATTATAAAAAGTTATATATAGTATAATGCATTGATATTATAACATATCATAATTTTTAAAAATTATTATAAAATTTTTTTTGTGTGAAATATTGTCCAAATTAAAAAATATGTATTAAATATAAACCTCATCGGTCAAGAAGGAAAATGAACATTATTCAAATTAATGTGATAAGAATTAATCAAGAGATTAACTATTTTTTTCTATTTTTTTATAAAAAATAAAAAATTAAATTATTAAAATAAAAAAAAATTAAGTCTGTTATATTTTTTATAAATATAAATTTTATTTTAAAAATATTTATAATATTAAATAGTGTAGTTAGTAATTTATATATTTAATAATACTAACGAAAAATAAAAAAATTAATAATTAATATATCTTAAATTTATTATTTATTTTTATAATAAAAAAAATATTTTATTTTATTTCTTATATTTAATAACTTAGACTTCGTATGAAAACAGTGAGCAGGATCTTTTCCTCCGTTACCCAAAAAGATAAAAGAACAAAAGTCAATTTTATAATTACTAATAGGACGTGCCCCATTAATTTAATGAAGAGTTGACAATTTGCTCATAATATTGATATGACAAAAAAATTAATACAAATTGGACGTACGTGTCAAAGCATTTAAAATGTTTCAATACGAATTAAGAATCGAGATCGTGAGTTTCCACAATTTCATTTAGCTGCTCAACTTTGAGCACCAGTCAATAGAAATCAAGAGTATTACTATCATTCTTTCTCTAATGTACATTTTTCCAATACACTTTTAATTATTATCTACAATTTATTAATATTATAAAATATAAATAAAATTTATTAAATTAAAAATAAAATTCACGTTTTTTTTATGATTTTTAATAAATTCTAACTAGTAATTAAAAATATATTAAAAGGATATGTTAGTCGTAATTCTCGTAAAGGTACCCAAAAGTGTTTTCCACTTGTAAAACTTTGTTGCTGAATTGAGCAGACACCTTATATTTTCTTTTCTTTTGGGACAACAAAAATAATTCAAATCCTAAAATGACCTTGCCATAATTTAAAATGGATACCGAACGAGGCACAATATCTCATGGTCAATGGAGCATTCACGCGTTCTTTTAGTATTACAGTCTTAGGAAACCCTTCTCGTTCTCTACTAGATCGATGCCATCATGTCGCACCACAAATTTTACAAAGCTAGCTGCTAGTCACTCTTCCACAACCCTTATAAGTGTTCTTGTTTACATATTTAGGTACAACTCATCATTACCATTAAAATGCGGCAACTTCACTAACGAGGCCATAAAGCCCTAAACACAATCATTCTTTATTAGACACAAGTCACTTGTAAATATTGTAACTTCTTGTGGATGTATATATTATATAAGACTTGCCAAAACAGAAGCTGCCTTGGAAACTGAAGACAGGCCACATTTTCTTGATATTAAGGATCAAGGGTCAGCTATTATACGATACAGGCTTTCTTCTAAGTTGCAGAAGATGCAGTAAAGGACATAAAACATCCATTCTGTGAAAACCTCTTGGAACCTGTGCATGTCAAAGAAAATATATCTTAGTACTTCGCTGTAAACAAATAAAATGCGTGTTTAAATTCATATTTGAATGACCATGGATCCATGTTTACTTCAACTTCAATGCTACTAGTTGTAACTTTCGTGTTATATCCATATCTACGAGTTTTTTTAATTGTTTTCAAGCATACACTCAAAATAACATGTTAGGCATGTTTCTCTACCTCAACAATGAAACAAGCCCAGTTGGTGCTTGAACGGTTTTCTAAAATCCCTTTCAAGATGGAAAGGTCAAGCTTTCGGATCACCTGAGCAATCTCTAAGAAAAGCCCATGCTCGTTGCATATCATCTGTTACAAAAGTGAAAAGCAGTTCAATAAATGCAGTTTTTGTATGGTATTGTTTGTTTTAACAAATTTGAGAACCACCAAGTGGTCAAGGAGAAAAATAGCACACCTCTATGAGCATGTTCCCTGAGCATTCCAGATCTTCTATGACTATGGGCCATGCTAGTTCACTTTCAAAGTCAAATGCGCAGCTCCTTCCTGGGTGGCTGCCGTTGATTTTCTGCCTTTTGCATTTAGGAACCTAGACACCAACTAGTCCAATGTCAAGAATAATGAAGCTGCCGGAACAAAGGTTTTATATAGTTTCTATCTGCAATTTCTTTTCACGTCATGTTTCACCCATATCATATATATGTCTTGACTATAAGATAAATTTATGTAGCTTTAGTGTGGTATGGAATGCAAACACAAAGAATTGCAAATTGTTTTAGGCGATAACAAAAACAAGTTCCCTAGTCTAGGGAATAAATTTGCATAGGAGTTCTCACAAAACATAGCAGGCTAGGCGAGCCTTACCTCCCGATTGGCAAATTGTTTCAGTTTCTCGGCCTGGCTTGTTATCTTTCTCAAGTATAGCATGTGCTTTATGGTCCGTTCCAAGAGGTTGTCAATGCTACACTGCATATCATAAGCCCAAAGTTAAAATATTACAAAGGGAAATCAAACAATTAGCTTTTGTCCTGAAACAAAAAAACTTACCTTACCACCATCTGGGACAAGTTCTCTCAACTCCTTCATCCTGTCCATGATTAGTTGTCTATCTCTTGGCCTTGACTTTTGGTTATTACCAACTCTTGTTCTCTTCTTGCTTGCGCTAGAGGGCTTTGGTCCACTAACAGGCTGCATATGACTACTAACCTTTTCCTGCCGTGCCTCATGAACCAATAAGCTTGAATTTTCATCAAAAGATGATGTATAAGTGTGAGAACGTTCATCTTTGCCCTTGATCATAACTGCAGGCATATTATCTGTTTTCATATCTGAATTTTCAACAATCAAAGTGCTTTCTTCTGAATTAATTTTTGGCTGAATGCAACCTGTAAACTTTATTGGCATGGATATAAGAGACCTAACACTGTTACATAAGCTTGAAGTATCATCAGAGGCACTGCATAAACTGCCAACAACAGCATCCAAAAGATATTCTGGATCAACTTCTTTGGAAAGCTCCAAACCTTTAATATTACCATGCTCTTTTTCATTGGATATCAAAGTTGAGCTACTGTATGTATCCTCCACAGAGATATGTTTTGACATATGTTTGCCTGTCTCTCCGTATGCAACTGTTCCAAGTGCTTTGTGCAATTCAGACTCTAAGGGAAAATTGAAGAAGTCATTCACATTCTTAACACCATGATCAGTTTCAGTGCTTCCAAATTTTTTCCCCGTCATATTTTTACCCATGTGAGAGCCAAATTCATATGACATCTCGCCAAACACTCCCACATTGTTAACCAAATGAGACCAGGACCATATCTCTTCTTCCATATGACATGGGTTTGCCTCTATCTTACCAACATGTTTTGAATCAATCAACATCTCAATTGATGAAGAACCTATAACACTTTCATTTGCTCGTTTCAGAGATTTTACCAGATTTTCTCCAGACAAGAAACAGTCGCCCTGAATAAATGACAGCATTGTCGGATTCAACCTTGAACCATTCACATTGAGTGTAGCACTAGTTGAAACCTCACTTTTCAATATACTATCTGTAACAGATGATGATTCGTTCAAGATATCCATCAAATTATGCATTAGGGTTGAGAATGACCAATCTCGATAATCAGTTCCCAAGTTCAAAGGTGCAGTATTTGCTTCTGGACAATGAATGGAATGGACTTTATCCTTGATATTGGTAATAAATTCCAGGTCTTCTGCAATCTAAAAACAGGACAAGAGAGCATCATGCATTGTGATTAAGCATAAAGCAAAGGTTAGTTTCAGAAATACACATGCTCTCACAAGTTACCAACAAAAACCGTCAACCAAATTAACACGCTAATACTAACACCAATTTTTGCACATAAACCTATAAGGTCCATGAAAACAATACAAACACACCTGAATGATCTCTAGCAGATCTCCAAAATGCTAATAGATGGGGAGAAATGGACCAAAATTTAAGATTACGACTCCACACAGTTTGTCTCCTAAAGTGCACCGCTCCCCCCCTAGAAGAGCTAAATCCAAGGTTTAAGGTGAAACGAAATTGCCAGTGCACAGGTTTACTAGATATGCATGCTATCATGATATCACTCTAATTGTTAAACCTACAGCCTGCTAGGTCAGGATTCAAATATAAAATATATACGCACCTCTTCAAATGAACCAAACTGCAAAACCCCTAGTGGATGAACTGGTACCAGCACAATTGTCTGTGAAAGAAATTCAAATTATCAACTTAACATTTGCTTGAGTTGCCATCATCATTTGCAGAAATATTATGTAAGGAAAGCTTATTCTAAGTTCTAAGTTATTTTGACCAGTCACTAGCATGCTAGTCACAGGCAAAATGCTTTATAATTTATCCAGAACTTAGAAATGGAAATCAGATCTTGGAGTACAATCTAAATAATATATAAAGACAAGACACAATACCTTGATGCCAGATGCAAATTGAAGAAGCCACTCATCAGGACACTGAAAATTGGAGAAGGAAAAGATTGCAGTTATTTAAGTATTTCAAAGCAATATGGTTAATTAATTTTACTTCTATGTGAATATTGTATATATGGAATCTCACCTCAGGGAATAAATCAGTGTCAAATTTACCAGTGAGAATATCCTCACAGGAAAACCAACAATGATCTCTGGCAAGAGCTATTTTGCCAACAACCCTGAAAGAATGATGTCAAGTAAAATTATTGAATTTGCATAATCTTTATAGATCATGAAACAAAAATTTTCCTGGTACACGAGAATAATATAATTGATTTAGCATCCTATCCTTCCTCTAAGAGAATCCACATAGGTGCCACTTTATGACATCTCCTGCACAAGGACAGTAATATGCAGAACTACTCGAAAGTAGAAATATACATTGTTCTGACCTCATTCTAGAAACACACATTCAGAATTACTCAAATAAAGAACACAGATGATCTTCATATGATTGAGCTCATCCCTGGTATGAATATGTACAAGAATAACTAGCGGAAATTAAAGAAGTGCTCCCTCTATTTAAAATAATTGTAGCTTAAGGTTTTGCACAAGGACAAAGAAAATCATTAAATATTTTAATTTACAAGACAATACAAGTTCATTTGTCTACATTACCAGCTCACTTCACTAATGCCCTCTCATTTCACTCAAGAGATGCCAAAGAAGACAAGGATAAACTTAGAAAATGTACTTAAAATGAATACAAGGAGTAATTTGCAACAATAAATTTAGATATAAACTCTAAAGCTAAAGCTGTTACCCTTCTCCTAAATTGTATTTGCGATGAGACATTTCAATCATGAGTAGTTGAAAAGAATAATCTCCTGAATCATCAGTACTTTCACCGCTTGAAGAATATACCTCATCTGGGGTTTTGAAACTGATGTCACCCCACATACTTTCCACATCCTCATTTCTTTTCTGGTAACCATTTTCCCAGGTCAAAGTCCTAAAACCAATAGACTTGTGTTATACAATAGATCTCTAATTCTAAACAGCAAAGGTAATTTCATGCAGCATACTAATATAGCAAGGGAAGAACTAGCTTCTCAATCAGACGATAAGTAACACACCAAAAATATTGATTCATCGGCTTAATATATAACCATCCAATATAGTGGGCTTGAACTGTCACTAATAGGTAATACGGTTAATTTCCATATTGACTAAAGGGATTTAGAACCAGAGGTTCTAGATTGTACTTCTCATAAAAAGCATAAGTAGGAGGAAAAAACTTTCAGGACATATTGTGCTTATAGGATCTAAAGAAGCTTGCAGACAAATTTCAACTATTAATCCAATTAATTTTCAACCCTTATTAAAGAAATTCAATGCAGATAATACGACCAACTATATAATAAAACTAAACAATCATCATTAAGATGTCAATTCTAATCATAACATCATTCTTTCATTTATAAAACAACAAAACTAATAACAATTCTACTCTTTCCAATATGAGCCCAAAAATAGAAGCAACTCAATGGCCAGAGAACTTACATTGGAAAATGGTGGTCAAGCTTCCACAAAACAGCATATTTCCAAAGTGTATTATCACAAAAGCCCTTCAACAACTGCGTTATAGAAGTGGCTTCCATATGTTCTACTTTCCAGGACTTTGCAAAATAAACAAGAAACACAGAAGAGAACCCAAAAATAACTTCAAACACACTCCTAGCTTCCTCTGTATGAACCTCTACCCGCTTGTTTAATTCTCAAACCCGCTCTTCTTTTAATCGGTGGCCCTGTTGCACTAAGAAGCATGAAAACAACCATAGCTAGGCTCCTCCAACACAAAACTATGAGACAGTATATGTGTAGAGCCGTGCTGTCACAATCAATGATGACCAGAAGTGCTCACAATTTCCATTTTCTGTGCCATTTTGAAGCAACTTGCAGCCCAACTCAAAGAAAGCGCTTTTAGAAGAAAAGCCTCTAAACTTAAAATTAAGCCAAAAAGCAGCTCAATAGAGAAGAATACATCCTGCAGAACCAAAGCACAAAACTTTTATCGAGAATTTGTCCAAAAAGTCGTTTTGATTACCGGGAAATTTTTACTGGGAAAGAAAATTACGACAAGTCAACTCTGAAATGAAGAATCCCACCACTGCTACTACACTTTGCTCACTCAAATTAGAGTAAAAGAACCAACCCAAAACTCAAAATCCATTATTTGTCCAATTCATTTTCCCAGCAATCAAACAATCACATTTGATCTATATAACAAGTAAGCTTACCACTTTCACTGTTGACTATGGAATCAAAGAATTTCACCATACACAAATTCATTACACTCCATGAGAAAGCAATTAAGTGAAATTTCCCACACAAAAAGAGATTTTGATGGATAATCAATGATCAAAGAAAGTAGAAAAAGAGAGAGGGGTGGCACTTTGTCTTTAGCACTAAATTTTGTCCACACAAACCACAAAGCTTTAGTTTTCTACTATTCTACATGCCAACAGCTACAGCAACAGCACCACCCTTTATATAAAAATAACTTCTTGGGCATTCTCTTTCATCTTCTTATTGTTATTTACGGACTTGAGAGTGATTCAAAGCTATATTTGATAAAATGGGGAGAATCAAAGTGGAAACTGGACCCCACAGACAGGGACACTGACAGTAACAGAAGCTGCTTATGATTCCACTGCACTTTGGAGCGCGTGGGAAAAGGAATTTCCACTTTGTGATGACATTAACAGTAACAGAAACAGAGACAAGTTCTGTTCTCGTTGAATCTTCTCCTCGGGATTCTTTCTCAATTGCAAAAACTCATTATTGCACGTTGCCCGAAGAAACAGAACTCCATAATGTGCAGATACTGCGAATACAAGAATAAAAAAAAAACAAAAATATAAAAAATAAATTTTAATTTTTTCTTTTAATGTAATTTTTATAAATATTTTTAATAAGTTATTTTTTTTTATTAAAAACATTAATTAAGTTATATTTTTCTTGTCATGTGCTGGGGTATGATTTTTCCGAAGTTCTTGCTACGGCTCTCAAAGGGACTAGTTCAAAGTGTGATTCTCTTATATGCACAGAATTTTGAAACAAAAAATTCTATACATTCTCCTTCTCTTAAAACAATCTTAAATTAAATTTAATCTGATTTATTAAAAATAATTTTTATTTGAGTGAATGATTAGTTTTTATAATATCATTTTTAATTTAATTAAAAATAATAAATAATTATTATCTCTTTTACATTTTATTTAATTAAAATTTTCAATAAAAAACAAAAATAATAAATAATTTTTATAAATATTTAATAAAATTTCAACTATTTATAATAACATATTCGTTCATTTATATAAGTACAATTTCTTAACTTCTACAAAATTAAATTTTGTTTGTAATAAAACATAATAAATAATATTTTTTATTAAAAAGTATACTATTTACTAATATCAAGATATTAGATTATATTAAATTCTATAATTTTTTATTAAAATTTGTTATATATAAATTCATATTATCTACATTGTTATACAGATTAAAATACTAATAAAAATAATAATTTTATATTCAAAAATAAATTTCACTTTTTATAAAATATTTTAATATAACTAATAATTAAACTTAATTTAAATATATATATTTAATTATATTTAAAAATTTAAAATTAATTTATTGAATTACAGAATTTTAAACCAATTAGAAATTATATTAATTTAAAAAACTCAAATTATATTTATATTTACTACGAGTCAAATTAAATTATTAAATGATGTAAGTGTTAGTATCTCATGAGTTGCATTTTTTAAATTTAGTCTTTATAAAAGTTTTTATTAAGATATAATCTATAACATTTTAAACCTAATAAAAGTTACTTCTTATCATCAATTGAATTGTGTTAACTGATAAATTAAATAACAAAAGTTTTTATTAAGATATAATCTATAACATTTTAAACCTAATAAAAGTTATTTCTTGTCATCAATTGAATTTTGTTAACTGATAAATTAAATAATAAGTGTCTAACTTATTGCTTACATGATATTATTGTTTTTAATATTATATTATTTAAAGGTTAATATCTACTAAAAAATAGTCCATAAAAATTTAATTAATATTTTATTTTTTTTCATTTTTTATTTTTTGACTGCCACTATTATTGTTATTATTTTTTTCAGTAAATTTTTAGATCAGCAACTAATAGATTTAGTTTTGTGTGATATTTTTTTTTTAAACTAGCAAAATTCACTTAAGAAGAGCACTTGTTGAAAAATCATCCGTTGAAGAGACAACTTCCAAACAAAAGCACAATAGCATTGCTAATCTTTGAAAGCTTTTAAGCAAGGAATCCATTTCAAAATGGCTATACAAATCCATAGTAGAAGATAGAGGGGTAATTCCACAATCCCCTTTCAAAAAGCTTTTAAACATTATGGACCATTAATTAAGATTAAATGGTTAAAATTGAAAGATAAAGAATTGATGATACAAGTTACATGTATGAAAGGACAAAGTGATAATTTTATACGAAATGAATTTACATGTTTTCTTCCTCTTCCTATCTTTGTCGTCTTCTTCCTTTTTCTTCCTCTTTTATTCTCATCTCATTCAAACAACATGACTTTGCTCACCCTCTACCCTCTACTAGTGACTACGCAACTCGAAAAGTTATATAAAATAGACATATAATTTGCATAAATTTGTGTCATGTACAAAAAATTATACATTTTCAAAGTTTATAACATTAAAAACAACAATATTCAAAAAATTTTGCTACTTTTTATATGGGTTCTATGGTAGAACCAAGGTATAAAGTATAAAGTAGCTTTTTAAAACAAAAAACTTTATACGTCGTTTCTTTAAGATTGATGTAGAAAGTAAAGTTTAAGAAACAAAAACTTTCTACATCGGTTCTACATAGAACCAATATAGAAAGTTGCATTTTTTTAATATACTTTCTACATCGATTCTTTGATAGAACCGATGTAGAAAGTTGCATTTTTTACATCTTTTTCAATTTTTGTCTTCTCCCAACCATGTTTCATCTTTTCTTTTATGATGGTTATGGGTGAAAACTGATATACAAAGAGTCATTCATAGTAATTCTAATGGTTGATGATCAGAGATGAAACAAGAATGACGCAATAAGATGTGATACAAAGCGTCGTTTGTTTCTTCTCTAATTTCTGTCTACATTTCATCTTCTTCGATGGTGCATAATAAATAAGACAAAATGAAATACATAGGTTGTTAATTTTTTGGGGTGTCATAATCAATGTTAACAATGTTGTAATTCTTATGCTTGAAAGGAATTATTACCCATGAAACCAACAACTTGTATTACTCATAGACAACAGTCCAAATATATAAAAGTTTACAATTTACTTTTTTTCCTTTATGACTAACAACATAAATAAGTTACTCATCTAATTTTTTTTCCTTTTTCTGTTTTAATTTCAACCATCTATTTAATACAAAATATAATCAACGGTCTTAGTTCTTTTTAAATTTCCTTATACAACAACTTTACTTTACAATTATATGACTTTTTCAATGAAAGAAAAGACCATATAATCACCCAAAATAGAAAACTCACAACTCCAAAATGATCCTAATATAATACAAACTTTAGATTCATAAACCAATTTTTAAAAGTATTTTCTTTAGAGTAAAAGTTGAATACAAATAATGCTAAACACTTTTTATTTAAATAAATATTTTTTATAGTAAGAATTGGACATTTTAGGAACATTTATGTAATATTTATCTTTTAAATAATAAAATATTAAAAATAATTATAAAATACAAATAATGTAATACTAATTATTACTTAAAAATCAGTAAAAATTATTTTTAATAAGTTTAAAATAATATCAACTAAATCTTAATATAATTTTTTTATAGATGATAAATTTTAAAAAAATTAATTAAGCATTTAATATAAGGTGGCTTTTTGTGGCTCTCACTTAGTATCTTTGAATGACTTTGTAAACCTATTAAAGTTTCACACGTGTAATTCTCACCCGGTGGGTCGAAAGTTCATGATAAAGCTAACACATAAAAATATTCAATTTAAAATATTTTTTAAAAATATTACTTTTTAATAATTAAGACCCATAATTATATATAGAAATAGATTAGACATTAAATTAATTGGTGATATAATTTTGCTGACCAAATTAATTAATCATTATTAATTTGAAAGATCTTTTTCATAAATTCAAGAACAAAATTAATTAATGTTGACAATTTTCAAAACTAATTCAATATGCTATTTCCAACTTCACATGCCACGATTTAGGGTAAGGTCCAATTTCCTTTAAACAGCCTCTCGCAATTTCATTTTAAATAATGCAACCGGGCAAAAAATAAATATAGACAAGTTGAATTAAAAGTTGAAACAGTTTTGTGTAAAAAAAATAATATAGATTTAAATATAGTTTGTTTTTATAAGATTTTAATATTAGATATAAAAAATGATTTTATTTTTTATTTTTAATAGTAATATAACTTAACAAAAATTTGACACGTAATATAAAAAGTGATATATAATAATTTTGTAATTAAATACATTATTATTAAAGATAAAAATTTTAAATTTATATTTAAAAATAAAATAAATAAAAATTATATATATATATATATAATATTTAAGCTAAAGTAATATTTTCTAAACTTTTTATTTAAGTTGTCAACTATATAACGTGGAACCCAAGTTAACTTTGATGATTTTAAAGGGCAATGTTGACCTGAACTTTTCACAATCATAATGGCCACTGTCAACCCCATTAAATATTTCTTTCAAAATGCATGTCAGGTTTACAAAAGTAAGCCATATGCAAAAACATGACATAATATGTTTTGATTTTTCGCTTTAATTAGTGTTCCCAAATTATTTTCATTTCATTGAGAATTGTCACTCCACATTGATGGATACTTTCGAATAAGATTTCACTGAACAATATTTGTTTTCTAAAATATATATGTGAGCATCCATTTATCTATCCTTAAATTCTAATGAATTAAGATTATGATTTATTTTAAATTCAATTAAAGATAAATATACTTGTACTTATACATTTTAGAGACAAATTAATTCAATTTAATTTAGGAATTTTTTTTATTTTATTTACGTACCGTGATGAGATATGATGAATTATACCCTTTTACTTATTCTTTAGAAAACGATGCATTTTCTATTTAATTGTTTGACTTTGTTTTCCCTACTTTAAAGTTATGGAGCTGACTTTTTTCCCCTTTTTTATAAACTGTTGACTTTCATTGTTGAATTACCTTCTTGTATTTAGACTTTGAAATTGAGATTCTTTTTCAGTTTTATGAAAATTATTTGACTAAAGCTCCTCCGCCTACCTGGGCTAACGTAAGTAATAGTATATATTTTTATATATTTTTAACCTATTTTTAGTTATTAATTAAAATTTATTAAAAATATAAAAATATTTAATTTTATTTTAATTTAATAATTTTCACTCATATTTTTATAAATTTTAATTAATAATTAAAAGTGTAGTATATT